GTCCAGACACTCTCTGAACTTGTCACCTTCAGAGAAAAACAAAAAGACAAAGCGAAAGAAAATTAATCTTTAATCTGTAGTTTTATTGATTGTTAATTCGTTGACTAATAATTCTGGTCAGTTTTCATTAACAAACTTTTTTCCCTGATGGAAAAAGCCGATAACTAAACAAAAACTAACATACGAGGACAAAAGCTATGATGAAATGTACTTACACTTTCATCACTAAAAATGAGATGAAAATACGAAGCTTTGCAAACTATTTTGGAACAAAACAACCAACCTCTTTATATTTTAGTCACTGAATCAACTTCAGATTTAGTCTACGATAATCTTATGATATTTAGTCAACTAAATATAAACTAAAACTAAACTAATTACAGGCCTAAACTATGACTAGAGCTAAAGGGTGTTTTAGAAATATAAGTGAACACTGGCTTTATTCTGTTTGATTTAGCGGAGAAATGAGCTGCATACCAGAAAGGAAGTTGAGGGGTAGGCGGCGAGGCACCAGCCCTTTGGGAAATTTCTCCCAGGCTTCTTCAAAGATTTTGTATCTCTCCTCTACAGTACCTGAAAATAAAACAAATAAAAATCGAGAGGAATTCAGGATTTAGCGTCACCGCCGATTTGGATGTTTTAGAAGTCAAGACTCGTGTCATACTTGGTTTGAGGGCCTTCTCCAGGCCGTGATAATAGGACCAGTTCTCTGGGTTCCTCTCCAGCAGACGGCGGTAGACTTCTGTTGCTTCATCCAGACGCTCCAGCTTCAACAGTAACTCTCCTACAGAAACAGGAGCGCAAACACTGTTAAATCGAGATAACAAGCCAAGAAAAATCATGGCTGCCAGCAAAAACAAAACAAAAAACCCAACAAACTTCTGCTCACAGGAGAGTCAGAGATAGAAAAATTAAATCAGCCTCAGAAAAGTTTTCTACATGACTTATTGAAGCTTGTTTGCCTTTCTCTCCTGCATTATACCAAGATTACTGCTGGCATCACTGCTCCCCCTAGTGGCAGCAGGTTTTATCACACCATTAACACCAGTCCGCCACTGTGAATGAATTATGCTCTTTAAATAAAGTTTTGCTTGTTTGGTGTTACTTTGGTAAAGATGTTTGCACTTCCAAAGATTAACAGAGAGGCTCTGCAGTCACCCACCTCGCGTCTCCTCCACTGCCAGTTTATCGCAGATCTGCTTCTCGTAGTTGGACAGATGCTCGAGGGCCTCCTTGTGCAAACCTGCTTCTCTCAGCACCTGGTTCTGGTAGAGCAGCAGCTCGCTGTACTCGTAGTCCACTTTGTCCGGAGACGTCTGAACAGACCAGAAAAAGAACAGACCACTCTGAGTGTCAGTAACATTTTGTACCAGGCACGCATGACTGAAAACCTCCAGGAGCCGCTGTGCTTTTCAGGAAACTCTGAATTATTCAGTGTGTGTGTGCACGGTCGCACCAGCTCACTGTATTACACAGATGGCACAAAGACAGGAAGCAGGCTGGTCTTATCAGGAGCACGCCAGAGTGAAAGCGAGGGAGCTCTACTGCTGTTGTGACCAATGCAGAGACGACAGAAAAAACACCCGCCGGCTGCAAAGCTACAAAGCACTCACTGTAAATCAGCGAGTCCGACACCTACAGCGCCGCGAATACGAGTAAGCCTGTTACTCATCAAAGCGTGGAGCGGTGCACGGTGCCTGTAGTACACAAAATAGTTCATATCCAAGCTTCTTTAGTGGCAGGGGTTCTCCCTTGCACAAACTTTCCACGCAGCAGGAGTTATTGGTCCACACTGGTGTGCGTCTGCGTACCGCCCCTGCTGCGTAGAAACAAACACTGCAGGAATGTGGCCAACGCAGAAACTATGGCGACGACTCCGGTGCAGTGCTTTAAAAAGCCAACAGGGTGTAGCCAAATCAGTGTGTGCTGATTGAATGACAGGAAGGTTCACCACAAAGGAGGAGAAAAAAAGTGCAAATGAGCAGCACAAACAGCAGCTGCAGTGAACGGCGTTAAAGTTCTTTGTCTTTGTGTTCGGTTTTCGCCGCAGCAGGTGGAACGCTAAAGCATCAACAACGCCACAAGCAAATAAGATCAGCCCACACTCCACCAGCAACTTTCAGCCAACACTCACAAACTAACCTCAGCACAATCACAGGTTTTTAGACTGAAGGATTTTAAGGACCAGCTGGTTGTAACAGCTACTTGTACCCCTACTTTTAAGAATAGGTAAGATGGTCTTTATCAGTGAAAGTGCAACTTTTTAATTTTTATTTTTTTTAAATTCCAGTTAAAGATATTTTTGGACAAAGAAAATTAAGAGAAAAACTAAAAATTTTGCTTAAGGTGAGCTGTTAAGATTTATCTTGGCTTCTTGGCCAGAGCTTGTACTGAAATCTAACGCACCGGCTCCAGCTGTGGCAGCTCTGAAACACTCTAAAATAGGTGCCTGGTCTGTGTTTGCAGTACTGGCCTCTGCACAGCTGCAGAGTCTCGACTGAATAGTCTGTGTTTGTTTCATTTACACTGTATCCCACTGGCAGAAGGTGCTACTGATGTGAGCAAGTGGCCACTCCATTTAAAACTGCAACATCAGCGGCCTCCAGTGCATCCCCCTCAGCCTCCTAGCAGATGCACGTACGGTATGAATGTCAAAGTCCAAGGTGACTTCCTTCTTGAGTTCTTGCATTCACAATACTGTCAGAAAGTGTGACCTCTGACCTTTGCGCTGAGATCACTGAAATTCCAACTGAAATTCAGGCCAGCTGCACGACAGGGCGACAACAAAACTGACAACTGAAAGTCATCTCCTGGTTCGGGTAAGAGAAATGCGAAACTGTCGCTGCGTCTAACCTGTTGTGTTTTCCTGAATTCCTCAATGATCTTTGCTGCCATCTCATAGTCTTCCAGGAGGTGATAGGCGATGGCGTAGCCGATCCAGGAGGCCCGCTGGGCTGGACGCAGCTGCAGCAGCTGGTACCGTGTCTCCTGGAGAAAGAGAAAGTGCCAGCGTTGAGTTCATTTGATATCAGGTGGAAAAATACTACGTTCCCTATAAGCCCACATTGTCTCAAACCTGAGGCAGCGCTGGGAAGATAAACAAAGAGAAAGTGATTGTGCTGACTCATGGTAGTGACACCAGGATGTTGCTAGCTGGCTCAGGGAGAACTAAAATTAACACCTAATACACTCCGAGTGGGAGCCCCTCCCTGTCCTCTCATCCATATTTTTTAATCCTTTCAGCCAGACTTTCCTCTTGCCATTTCATACCTCTCACTATAAAAGCATCTAAATCCCAGGAGAGCTGTTCTACATTGTGAAGACTGACTGCAACCTGATATCTGGATGCTGATTCGCCCAGTCCTCTAATTCAGAGCCATACTGCGTCCTGGACGAGGCAGGGCGACAGATGGAAGTGTGTGCTTCTCTTCAGGAAACTTCTTTCCCCACTAACTGAGGACTGTTTTTGTTTTCCTTTATAAAAAGTTTACTGGTTTTTTTAAAACATGCCTCTGCCAACAGGGTTTATCTCCTGTGGCCAAACTTTTCATCAAAACCTCCCAGCTTTTGATTAAGAACATGAAACATCTCTCAATTGCTACTTAAAGAGACACAATCCCCCTCTGACTCACCCTGTAGCCCTCCAGGTCCCTCATCTGGATCTGCAGCAGGGACAGGTCTCGGAGGATCTGCAGGTTGTCCTTGTCCCACTTGAGAGCGTTGCGGTAACACTTGATGGCCTCATCGTACTTCTTGTCCGAGCGCTGGAGTAAACCGTACACGTGCCAGCCTGGTACGCAAGGCCAGTTAAGGAAGATGCACAGTTTGTATGATGCTATCAAATGAAGTACAGAAAAGGGTCAATGGACCTCTTCTCTTGTGGTTGAACTGAAGTGATGTGATCTTTTAAAAAGCTGCTTTCAGAGCAAAAGGATCTCAGAAGTGCTCACTTCTCAGGAACGAGGCACCTTCCTGCATTTTCCGTTATATGAACTCTGAAGCCTTGTAATAGCTAAACACTAGTAATGCATCATGTGGTCTTTCCTTTACTTGCAGCCCTGTGTCATCCTCTTCATTGTGTTGCTGCGTGGTGGGAGCCACTGTGATGCCACCATGTTTCATTTCGTCCGATTCATTTAAAACGTTCACTGGTGATTTCTGTCTCTTTGTTTTGTTCCATCAGAATATCTACATTTACAAGAATGTTGACACGATAGTGAAAGTAGACTTTGTACGAGTAATTACATGTATATCAGTTTAAAATCAACAGGGAGACTAAATGAG